ATTCTCGAATTTCGGTAAGTTTGGTAACCTTGGTAATAGTTCTTGTAAATCAGGCTGATTGTCTACTAGAAGTTTAAGTAAATCTGATAATAAAAGAGGCTTCTGAGGTGAAGTTATATAGGCTTTCACAGACCCATTATCATATTCGGTACCACAATCGATTGCTACGGTTGCACTAATCTTATCGTCACCTAGCTGACGCGAGATAGTTGCCTTTAAAATAAATATCATATCAGATGCAATATAGTCATTATTTGACTTCCTATATTTAAATTCTAAATCGTCGAGACTCATTTTGCCATGAGACAGTTTTTTCATCAATAAAATTGAAAATTCTTCAATGTATGCGTCACCCGTGTCAATATTAATGATCAAATCGACAGATGTAATTTCTGAATCTCGTACTTCGTCAAACATTGGATTACTAGAAATTGTTGTTGTTGTCAGCAAATCCACCATATCATTAAGTGTTTTACTTTTAGTAGGAACTAAAGTGGCTTGCATTTTACTTTTTTCATTGTCGTAATTTATCATAGCTACTAATGAATCAACATTTCCTTCAATGCTAAATTTCCATATCGCTGAATCAGTAATATTTCTTGATGAAGAATATAAAATATATATTTTCAATTGATCAATTGCTAAAGATCCCAACTCAAGGTCCTTTGTCCAAAGGATGATTGACAATTCTTGAATAATAAAATCTGAATCATCTGAATTAGCTAAATCAACACTGATCTCTAAAATTTTGGCATGTTTAAACAAACTATTAAGTGCAGGTACATTAAAAACGTTTTCAAGTTGAAAAATTTTAAGAATCGTTTCTAATTCAAGATATTCTGAAAGATTTTTAATTAATAAGTTTCCAACGTATTTCGTAGATGGGAACGTGTATTCTATAAAGCAATTGTATTTTCTATCATTTTCGATTATTTTGGCTACACTTTTGATTTTTCCAGTCCATTGTGTATCATGATGTTCTAAGACTATAGTTGCATCGGTGACTTCTATAACACCAGTCTTAATTATAAAGTTTGTAATTGTAATATCGAGCCGAAAATCATTGTAGCTATTATAATTTTTTACATATAAATCAAGATATTGAAATTTTATAATTTTTATTTCTTTATTTATAGGTTTCCACAACATCGGTGCGAATTCACTGAGCTCTTCTAACGTTTCAAATAAATCGATGGCATTCAATACTTCACGTAGCTTCATGGTGTTATTATTTTCATCTAAACTTTGTGGTTTAATTGAAATCATGTATTGGGGTAATGTGTAAAGTTGCTCTATCTTTTTATCGTGCATATAAGAAAGAGTTGCTAAAAGTTTTTTATCATTCGCGATGGAAAGACAGAAATTGATATTCGTACCAATTGTTATATTTTCTGTCTCTAATGGATTGAAGATTGAAATGTCAATTGTTGTATTTGTGAGTCTTTCATAAATTTGAGATGGTACAAAATTTTTTATTTCTGGAATGTTATTTTTTGCAAACACTCGAATATTTTTAAGCCTAAAGTTCATTGTTGGAGGTTCAGTCACTGGATAAAATAATAAACTGAATTCCGGCTGAATGTTTTCTAAAAAGTTACTCAGAGGAATATCGAACAAAGGAACCTTAAATTTATCGTATATATTTTCACCAGCCTTTAACGCTTTCGCAACTTGAGTGAGGGTTGTACCAGCATCAAATTCCACTATAAAGGATTGCATGTTATCATTTTGAGTTAACAATATCACAGATTTATCTCCAATATTTGCACGTGCGTCAATACTTATTTTTGGGCTGCCACTAATAGCTCCTGGATCTGTAATTTTAATTTCAACATCAGTTATTTGTGAAATCGGAATTCCACTGAGTTGAAAATCTAGCATATTTCCTGTCATTGATTTATCCAATAAAAACTTTGCTTCAGTCGCTATAGCCCCAGTAGGACCAGTTTCGAAATTGATTTCTGAAATTTCTTTGTTAACTTTTTGATCTAATAATGCAATGCTAGATATGAAAGGCAGAGAAATTTTCAAAAATTCAGGCACTACTGATAATTGAGGCATCATTAGCAGACATAAATAACCAAATGAGATATTTCTCCACTTTTTTTGTTGAACATTTGTATTTAAAAGATAATCATGGACAGGTTTCGTTTTAGATATATCTGTTATCTTTGGAGTCCATTCCAATATACTTTCTGATCCATTATTATTTAAATTAATTTTCATGGATATTTCCATGTTATTAAGCCTTGGATTTTTGATCGTTATATGCATGGCCGTTACAAAAACACCAAGTTTTGGAAGTTCTTCCTTTTTTGGCCTGATTGAAGCATTCTTTATATCGAACAAATTATCTTTTGAAATTTCCCATACAACCTCTGAATCTAATTCAATTATGAGTGATAGGACATTGGCAAAATAATTCGGAAGTGATTCAAATATTTTTTCGACATTACGAGTGCAAATTATATAATTGAGCGCGTTCCTAATCGTTAATGTTGTATTTTCTTCATTCTTTTCGAGTTCTCCAAGTTCTATCAGGAAGTCTTTCAAAGTTTTACCACTCCTTTTTTTATCCGTTGAATTGTTTATAGAATCATCGATAGAAAAACAAAATGTCTGCGCACCTTCTTTAGTAGGCTGCTTTTTGAATTTTGGTGACGTTGTTGATTTATCAATGGCATAATAATGTTTTTCTTCTGTGTTTAAATCTACTAAATAAAATTCATCATATTTATCTTCAACCACCCATTCAAATTTGACAATAAAATTGCAGCTTTTACAGGATATTTGGTACGCAATTTGATCCGGAAATGACAAAGATATCAAAAAAGATACGGGCACATCAGATGAAGCTAAATTACCTTCCTTGTCAACACTAAGCCAGAGGTTGTCTTGATTTAAAATTTTTATATTATAAATGACTTTTTTATCAATTGGTTGACTCGGAAGATTTTTGTTACGTTTAAATATATCAGTGATTTTTTTTATTTCTTCTTTGCCCGTTGAGTCCCAACTTAAAAGCTGTGCACTTTTAGGATCAAGCAATTCACCATTAGAAAGTTTAATGCTAACCTCATAAGCACTATCATTAATTGTATAAACTTTAATACGTTTGCTTAAAAGTTTTTGGATATCACTTGATTTATTCTCCAATAAATCATCAATAGCAGAAGTAAGTAGGTTCATATTAATCTTCGATCCATTTGTTAATAAGATCATTACTTCTCTTTCTTCTTCATTTAAATCTTCTAAAACAGATTTAATAATTCCTACAAGTACTAAACTATCTGGATGGCCGTGTCTTGATCCAGAAGAAATAATGTATGTCTTTGTGATAAATGAATTATAAAAATTTGAGATAGAAGAGGCGATATATCGAAATGATAAAGGAGAGATTTTTAGGCAATGCCACATTGAACTAAGTAATGGCTTTAAATCTTTATGCATTATATCAAAATTTTTCCGTATTCTCCTTTTTATACTCTTAAAATACACATAAAGTTGCTTTTCTGTGATATTTCCTCTTCTTATATTGTTAATATATGAATCAAATTTTTCATCAAGTTCTTCATCAGAGATACCAACCTCATCTTTAATAAAATCGTACTTTGGCCAATGATGCTGTTTTGTTTTTTGATTCATTTTATAAATAATATATAATTTTCTTCCAACTTCTGGCCAATTAATTTCATCCCAATTCCAGTTAATGTTACTGTCTTTTTCTGGTCTTCGGATTACTAATGCCCTTGCCATAAATTTTAGAAAATTTTTAATAGCTGCTAAATTTGAAGGTGTTTGAATATATCCTTTCGATTGGGCCGCTTCTTCAAATATTTCAAAATTGGAAAAGTTGCACATAATTTCAAAATCAGTTTCAATGGCAGCTTTATCATCAAGATCTTTAAAATCAAATTGTCCTCCATAATATAGAATCATCATCAAAGCAAATTGTTGATTTACATATTGAGGAAGACTAACATGAGTTCCGACCATCGAATTAATTCTTGATCCATAGTTTGGTACTTGAAATACATCAATAAATGGTCGTTCATTTAATTGTGTCTGCTGATATTCTTTTAACTTTATCGTTACCACTTCTAGTATCCATGAAGCGATACTATCACTGGTGAGAATCATATTCCCAACTTTTGAGTTACATGTATACTGCAAACATGTAAGAATACTTGATAGATCTGCGTGAGCTTTTGATTTATTACCTTGTACGTTTGTGGATAATTCATTAATTGATCTTTCTATGGATGTGTTTGACGATGGTTTAACTTCACTTCTTCCCAACCCGAAAATTTTCACTAACGAACTATTCTCCACATAATTATTTAATCCATAATTGCTTAATATAGGGCTCACGTAATTAGTTACCATAGAATTGGTTGTCACATATCTCACAGTTTTTTCATAAAAGCTTGTATTTTGATCAACATTCCTTTTGCGTTTTAAAATTAAAGGTCTTCCCTTATCATGGAAAAAGCACTTTAGGTTTATATTTTGGCTTTCAAAAATCGGTTTTTTATCATCAAAATCATGAATAATCTCAAACTCATTATCTTTTAAGATATCAATAATTGGTTCATTAATGAATTCTTTAGTAAGTATTATGAGACAATCAAGCTTTTGAGATTCCTCTGTGCTAATGTCTTGTGAAAAGAATTCTTTGAGAAATCTTGTAATTCCATTAAGACGACCCGCATGTGTATTTGTGATAATGATGCCTTTAATATTCGATATTTTATGTTTCAGAATTGCAGACCTAAAATATTGATAAGATGGCGAGCGAGAGAACCCGCTATCAACTAGCCAGATATTGTCTGCATCGAGTTCTAAAACCAATATCGAACTATCTTCACCGTTACCCGTATAAATAGAATGTAATATAGGTACGTTCCCGGGCATTTCGAGAAAACGTTTTTTCACGAAACAAGTTTGTATTATTTGCTTATTTATAAACTGAAAACATAGTAAATTAGATCCTGATATATTCTAAAAAGCGTAACTCATCAATGAAATTATGCTTTGCATGTGAAGTGTGTTTGTTTTCTCCTCCTTTTCGGTTTCCTATTAAAGATGTGTGTTCATGATCTAACAAGATTAATCAGTTTACACAATTACAGAATTACACAATCTTTCTGGATGGATAAAATTGGCTTGTGCACAATAACTAATGATCAACCTGTGATTTGTAAATTTAGTGATGACCGTCATAATTGAATTCTAACTTTTTATTTACTAGATCAAGGATTTCTCACGACCTAGTAGTCAGAATTTGATGAAGCTTATACCCTTTGATTCATTTATTGAGACGAATCTAATGGTATAAAAATTATTAAATTCTGCCTACTGGATCGTAAGATATCTTTGATTTTTTATAAAATTTGTTTTTAATATAACTTATTAAATATTGGGATTATTTTGGATTATTTTTAAAAAACGTAGGCTTTTATGAGCTTTTCTTACTATATACTTAGTTTTTTTTAATGTATTTAATTGGTAGGTTTTGAAAGATCACCAAAATAAAAAGTACTTTAACGCATATAAAAAGTTAGAATTCAATTAT